CTAACGACCATGATCTTGGTTTTTGAGATGTTAAGCTTCAAGCCGTATTTTTCACATATTTCTGTGACTCTGTTGATGAGGAGCTGAAGGTCTTCATGATTACTGGCAAGCAGAACTGTATCATCAGCATATCTTAAATTGTTGATCCAAACACCATTTACTTTGATGTCAGCCTCGATGTTCTCCAGTGCCTCATTGAAAATTGACTCAGAGTAGATATTGAACAACAGTGGAGACAGAATACGTTCCTGTCTGACCCCTCTTCATATTTCTGCATCAGCTGAGTATTTTTGGCCTAGTCTCACATTTGCTACCTGATGCCAATATAGAGTCTTTATGATTTGGATGTCTGTCATCTAGTCCCCCTTGTTTCAGGATTTCTAATAGTTTGCTGTGTCTTATTTTATCAAATACTTTTTCAAAATCAATGAAGCACATATAAACACTGTGATTGACATCTCTACAATGCTGTACAAGAACTTGAATGCTGAATAGCGCATCTCATGTACCAAGATTGTTTCTGAAAGCAAATTGTGTGTTATCTAGACACTCCTTAATTTTGTTGTATATTCTTGTGTGAATTATTCTCAGGAATATTTTTAGGGCATGACTCATTAAGCTTATTGTTCTGTATTCGGTATTCTTTGCATTTATTTAGGGGGGATTGTCACAAAGGTTGATTTTAGCCAATCATTTGGTATTTTCCTGTTTCATATATTTGATTGAAGAGCTGCAGTAAAAAATTCTTCCCATTGTCTTTCAGCAATTTTAAAATTTCTACTGGGTTTTCTTGTTTTTGCTATTTTTATTGCATGTTCAACCTCCTCCATAGTGATGTTTAGTCCAGTTGTTATACTTCCCATATCTATATCTTCCCTAGTGTCCTCAAAAAGTTCTTCAATATATTCCTTCCATCTTTTTAGTTTTTCGTCCTCATCTAAGATAATTCCCCCCTCTTTGTCAACTAAGTTGTTGGTTTTCTTTTTGTAGAGGCCTGCTGCTTCTTTCACTTTTTTGTGTAAATTGAAATTATCATGCATTATGTTCTGTCTCTTCAATTTCTTTGCATCTCTTTGCAAACCACTTTTCTTTTGCCAGTCAAATTTTTCTTCTAATTGTTTTCTACAATTCATTGTATTTTTCTTTGTTTTTATTTTTATACGATCTTCTTTCATCCATGAGATGAAGAATTTCCTCCGTCATTCACGGTTGTTTCTTGTGGTACCCCTGTCTCTGTTTTGAATTTGTTACCTCTACTATTGCATTTTTAAATTTATTCCAGTTCACTTCTACATCTTCATCATTCAGGTTGTTGGTTTCTCTTAAATGATTTTCTAGTTCTTCGTTTATCTTACCTCCATGTTTAATGATGAAGTCTCTGTCAATTCTTGGTTTAGCAGGATTCAGGTTTTTTATCCTTTTTAGTTTCAGCTGGACTTCAGCAAGTAGTAGATTATGATCAGATGGTACATCTGCACCTGGGTATGTCTTTACTGATTTTACTATCGGATACAGGAATAAAGGAGTTGATGCATTTATTTACAAGAATGTTTACGATTATAGCTATTCCATTTTGATGGTGTTTACTATTCTCACCAGAGTAGTAGATAGTATAATCTCCTATTCTACACATTCCATTTTCAGGCCAGCACATTTCACTCACTCCCAATATAGAGATATTGTATTTGGACATTTCTTGGATAGTGTTGTGTGTTTTCCCAGCTTCGTATAGGCTTCTCCGATTCCACATACCAATTCGTAGTTTTGGGTTTATCATGCTTCTAGCAGACCGGGAGATTCTTAGCACCCCTGCCCCATTTAAAGGGCGCCCATACTCGGGGCCATTGTTAGGTTTTGCCACCATTTACATGATTTTCCTGGGAAATATATAATGTAGTAGTTCCCTTTGCTTTCTTCACCACTGTACACATGCTGTTCAAGTGGCTGCCACCACACCATGTGCTGTTCTTCTGAAGCCATTCCAACCAATATGGTCTCTGCCTTCAGTCAATACTGGGGAGCCAGCTGCCACTCACCAGGCCTGTTGGTCCACGGGAGGTATTTGATTCCCTCCAACCTGCAATTACAGCATAAAAGCCATAATGGGTAGGGCCCCCCAATCCGCCACCCAGGAATGCGCTCTGTGGAGGTTCCAGGCTCCCCCTAAGAGTGTTTTTTCTTATTGATAGAAAATTTCCCCTTAGTTCTAGGGTGAAGCTCTCCTTGATAAGTTTCCATTCATTACTTCTTGTTCTGACCTCAGCTGCTTTGAAAAATTGGTTGACTCTCCTCTTCTCTGTGACAGTCTTTCAAATATTGGAAGACTGCTATCATGTCACCCACAGTCCTTCTCTTCGTCCGATTAGACATACACAGTTCCTGCAACATTCATCATATATTTTAACCACCAGTCACCTAATCATCATTGTTGTTCTTTTCCGCACTCTTTCTAGAGTCTCAACTTTTTTTTTGTATCACAGGAGTCTTACCAAAGCAATATAAAGTGGTACTATGACTTCCTGTGACCTTGATACTATCCTCTTTATCCCTCTGTTGATGCAGACTTGGACTAAATTGGATTTTTTGGCACCCACACCTTATTGGTGGCTTATTTTTAAATAGTTGTCCACTAGGGGACTCCTAGATCATTCTCACAGTTAGACCTGTTGAACTTAATCACTTTTTTGGAATATTTATTTATTTTACATATTGATGACATTGATCCTTTCGACCAGAAAATTCATCCAAATTTAGGATCTGAATTTCTGAATCCTTAAGAGATAGTGTAAATTTGATTTTAAAAGTTTTAAAATCCATCCAGCAGATGAATTCCTAAGCAACCATTCCATTCCATTCCATTATTCTCTTCTCTTCTCTTCTCTTCTCTTCTCTTCTCTTCTCTTCTCTTCTCTTCTCTTCTCTTCTCTTCTCTTCTCTTCTCTTCTCCCTTTTGTTTGGAAGAAATGCTGAACGTAAATTCTCTTTCATGGAATTTAAGGCTTGGCTGAGGGCAAAACATATTTTTCTCAATGGCATTGGATTGCCACATAGTTAAAATATTTATTTTTGAAAATTAATAATGCATTAAGGAGTCAGAGGGATTTGGAATTATAATTTTGAATTATACAAAACACACAGGTCCCCAACCCCAAGACCATGGACTATTACTGGTCCACAAGTCCATTAAGAACCGGGTTGTGCAAGCAAATGAAGCTTCATCTGCGGATGCACAGGATCTACTTACTGTGTGAAAGCACATACACACTGGTCCATGGAAAACCCAAAAGATGGGTCCCAATGACCCATCTAGAAGAAAATATTTACTCATGAAGAAATGGAAATTGCTTTCATTTTTGCTTTGTTTTGAAGGCTGGACACCAAAGGCAGAGGATAAAGAAAATGAAGTGGAAATCCTTAGCACAAACTTTGAAAAACCTGTCCGTTTTTGGACAGGATGAATGAAATGCTTGATAAAATTGATGGAGCATGCTTTAATGAAGCTTTGTAACAAGAATGAGCTGCAAAGAATTTTAAAATTATATTTCACAATTTAGCTCGTTTTCTCTTCAGGTCTTGTTTTTGCTCATGGCGAGAACTGGAAAGTGATGCGACGGTTCACATTATCCACATTACGGGAACACGGAATGGGAAGGAAGACCATTGAAGACAAAATCACAGAAGAGTGTAGTGTCTTAACAAAGACAATTGAGGCTTATGAAGGTGGGTTGGCATTTGCTCCTAATGCTCTACTGGAGCATCTTCTGAGATAAATGTAGTGTGGGAAATAATTTCCTCAGATCATTTCAAATAAACAAGGAGTGTTTTAGGGGGTACTTTCTCTCCAACAATTCTTAATCCATTGTTTTCTTCCTATAAATAGGTTTCCTTGGCCAATTTTTGCTAAGTATATTTACAGAAATGTGACTTATGAATAGCAAAATGGTTCCAGGGGACTTCAATAGTTAATTCAGTGTAATACAACAATCTCTCATCAATAACACTTCTAGATTTACTTGTCTGTAGAGATTCCTCTAGTTCCTCTATGTAGAGCGGGTTGCAAGTCCTTCATCTGAGCATGAAAATTTCTTGTAAACTGAAGTTATTGCTCCTCCCTGCTTTGGGTCAAGGATAATCAAATGGTAGTTCCCCAAACAATGGAAAGATATAATCTAAATTTATTAAGTGAGCTAAAGAAAACCTATTTTACTCATGTTCTCCAACAGAAGTATTATTTTTGAATTGTCAATATGGAATCCTGCATAGTCATAAGGATCAAGCTCAGATGGTGCACCTACTCAGGAGCACATCTCACAGGTAGCTAAAGTAGAAGGAATCTCGTATTTTCCAAAATATTAGTTGTTGGAGCTCTACAATGTCAAATGTGCCTAGCACACAATATCTGGGTTGCGAACATCTGGATAATTATGGGATAGCAGAAGGATATACAAAGTTCTCATCATCTGCATTTTTGCAACCCAGAAATGAAATGGATATAATTGACTTGAGGAAAAAGCAATAAGAGAGGTATGTGATATAAAAATAATCTAGAAAACTAAAAGTTCCTTGTCTAACTGCCAAATGAGTTTTCTTTTATGGAGCATGCCAATATATCTACAAACTCAGCATTGCAATAAAGAAAGGCATGAGATCCTAAAAATGCAATATCTAGTTTATTAAGCGTTACATAAGAATCAAAGTCTATATAGGCATCTCTTTCTAGGATTTAAATTCTAATCTTTTCCTTCTACCATTCTGAGTGAATGGTATTTTGGCTGTTCTGTTCTCAGATTTGAAAGTGGGAAGTGGCTGCAGTATTATGGTTGTTATGTATTGAATATATATGAAGTTGTGTTAATCCCTGCTAAAGTGAAACTAACTTAACTCCAACTGCTTGTGAAGCTAAAATGAAACTAACCTTTAGATGACCGACTGTTAACTCCAACTGTTTTGGAGGGAAACTTTGAACATTCATATTTGGGTGGGTTTTTCAAGTATTGTGATTGGTTAAGGCCCTATGGGCTCAGAGTATAAATTGCAGGCAATTGCCTGCAGTTCTCCAGTTCTAGTTTGAGTCAATAAATAAAGTTGTAATTATGCTGGTCTGCTCCTTGCCTATTGAAGCCCACTACACAATAATTTTAATCATTCTGTCCTGCCTTTTGGGAAATATTGGTTAGACACAACCGTAAATATCTGCATGGAGATCTATTATAATTTCCTCCTATACAGTATATCTCAGTGGTTCTCAACCTGTGGGTCGGGACCCCATTTGGGGTCGATCGACCATTTCATGGGGGTCGCCAAGCAAGGCTGTCTGCCATTTTTTTTGTCCGCCATTTTTTCCCCTTTTCTGGCGGGTGCCTTACCTCCCTTGGGCTGGGCCAGCTGGTGGTCGGCCTGCTCCATCTCTGCCGCTTGCCAGCTACGCCTCGGCCGGCACAGGGGGCGGAACCACGCATGCGTGGCGCTCCCGGGCAGGGAAAGTCCTCGACTTACGACTGGTTGGGTAGTCCTCGATTTACAACCGGTTTAGTCCTCAACTTACAACCGGTTGGGGTCGCGGCATTAAAAAGGTTGAGAACCACTGGTATATCTAGTATTCCTTCCTTCATTTTATGAAGCTCAGTAGCTATTTGATCTTTAAAACTGCAGTCACTTAATGAGGAAGCATCACAATAACTTTGCCAGGTATTTTATAATAATAATAATAATAATAATAATAATAATAATAATAATAATAATAATAATAATAATAATAATAATAATAATAATAATAATAATAATAATAA